CCCCCGACATGCGTCGCCTCGCTCCTCTCACCCGACTGCTGTTGCCGTTGCCGTAGGTAGGGTATCGGCTGGTGGGCACTGAACCGACCTGAATGGGACGGAAGAGCGGCGGAGGAAAGGGACGTTAAGCGAGCGCAACAACATCAAACACAAAAAACTGCTGTGTGTGGGCAAAGGGTTATTTTGGCGGCACTTTGCGGTCTTCGTTTTTTCCCTCACTTTTTTTGTCTTGCAACAATTTTGTAAACAACGGCGGAGGGAACTGATTGTTACATCCTTGCGCCGACGCAACTTCGCGAAGCCGTCGCCGCTACTTGAAAAAACTGCTATCAAACAGCGGTGATTCGAAGAGAATCCAAAGTGTGTATGTAGGCTTAAACAAACTCAAAATAAGCCCAGTTTCCAGCCGGTTTCCCTCTACTCACTGAAAAGACTTCAGCACATCCCTTTAGACTGAGGTTACATCTCGAACGGGTAGTCTTTCTGTGAGATTATGTTTACTTTCTAAAAAACGAAGAACTCCAACTATTGTAAGAACAACCCTCGTAGACGGGGGAACGTTGTCGGAAAAGAGCGATATGTCGCTCGTATTCTCTTCCCGGGCATGTATCTGTGCTGCTACATAGCTGTAGCAGTAGCGTTCTCCAGGCAGCAGCGTTGCATGTTGCATGCCAGCTTTTATAAAATGCTTGCAAGTGTTCCTACTGTATTATAGTAGCAACAGCTGTCGTACGATTGCAAACGCGCGCGCAAATTCGTCGTTCTAATCTTTCTAGACTCCACGGCAACTTCGATGTAGCTGTTCGAGGAGTGGAGGGGGGTAGACAAGCCTATCATTCAAACAAGATTCTCCCCGCCACACATTGCTGTCCAATGTGGGCACCTATGCATCGAATACCAGTTGGGATGCATCCAGGCATGTACAGACAAAGCGCAGTTCTAGATGCAGTATAAGCCGCATGGTCCACAGCGAGCGGTGGGTGCCTCGAAGTGGACACATATGACACATGATGTAATGGTCAACGATGCCGTTCCTCGCTTGCACAGAAAAATGGGGACGGTTTCACCTACACTTACTTACCGCCGTCAGCACGTTCTTTGGTTCACAGATGCCATTCATACCCACAAGTGAACGTTGGAGGCAACGGGGTTCCGTCCCAGTTGCTACAAATACAACGAAGGTTGAATGGAATGTGCATACACACTGACTGCTGTAGATGGTCCTCTGCGAAATACACACACAAAAAGTACATACATGACCACATCAGCTGGGCTGGGATTTGTTCGAGGCCTCCGGGTTAAGTCAAGACTCGAGGGAGAGCATTGCAAGATGGCTGCGCTCCATCATTCTCACAATGGCCTAGCCTCACTTACAACAGATGTTCAAGTGCTCATGGATACTATAGGTCCAACAGGGGCGGAGAAACTCCCGAAGCAGTTCTTCGCGGACCTTCATATCCAAACTTGCTGCATGTCGGAAACTGGACGAAAAAAGATCGCTACTCTGTGCTCCTGCTGCTATTGGAGATGTTCCTGGGTTCGCCGAGAGCACCTTGGGAAGGCATCTTCCATGGGCTGCGCGCTCATTCCCGGCGGCCTATGTGCAGACCCGACCTTGACACACACAAGCAAACAGGTAATCCCTGCTCTCCCTCACCTTTGGTGTGTGCACAGCTTCACGCACAGCTCTTCTGCTTCCGCCTCTCCTGGCCACTGCCGCCGCCGCCGCCGCCACCCCCAGAGGCGTGCTCCTCCACGCGGTGTGGGTTCTTCTTCGCGAACTGCTCGAGCTTGTCGCACACGGAGGCCATCTCGTCCCGGGTCAGCCCCGTGATCTCCTCGCCTGCCTGCAGGTTGAGGACCACGGCCGCCGCCGCCGCCGCCGCCTGCTGCTCCTGCTGCTTCAACTTTTCGTCGCTCTTGTGCTTCTTCTGGGCGTTGTCTGTTGTGTGGGGGGCCATGACGCGGCGGTGCGTGTGCTGTTCTTCTTCTTCTTCTTCTGCCGCAAGACTCGAGGCGGAGAGAGAGAGAGACAGCAGGGAAAAGAGGGGTGGTGATGATATTGCAGACAGCACAGCAGGAGCACCTTCAGATGTTGACGAACATCCCTCCGAACATCCCGCGGGGACTACGCAGAATGTTTGCAAGAGTACGTATCAACCACGGTATAGAACTGAACCCCCATTCCCATGTGAGTGCTCCCCAACCGCCAACTGCCAACAGCACCGCCAGACAGAAGAAAGTTGATGTACCCAGCGACGCTATCGAGACACACAGCTGCATCCCTTCTCCTTCTCTTTCCTTGCCGTGCGGTCGTAACATCCGCCTCTACAGCGGTCGCCGCTCCTCATCATCTGCATACGTCGGCCTTCGCTGCAGCGAGGAGCTGGACCAGCAGCGTCCCCAGCGCCAGAAGAGGCAACAAGCCGTCGTGTTTAGCTGGCGCGGCACGGCAGCAGCTCACCCATCGCATGAGCGAGCAGCCGCAGCAGCAGCAAGCGAAGAGGCATAAAAGGTAGGGCACCAAGCGTCGTTCTTGACGCACAAAACTGGCAGGTTTTTGCTGAAGCTCGCTCTTTTTCCGCGGCAGGATAACATCTGCAGATAGGCCGAAACATGCGGTTGTCCTTGACCATCGCACAGCAGTCGTCGAGGGACTGTAACGAAGCACTGGTTGCAGCAGTAACTGTGCTGAGGCCCGGGCGCAATGTTACTGCGTGCGCCTTTCGCAACTCGTACGTATTCGGCCATGCGCCCGGTGGTTTCGTGATTTTTCCGCCCAACAAAGATTCTACATATCTTGCTGCCACGCTGCCACCCAGGTTGCGGGGGAACCTCGCACGTATGATACAGCAGTTGTATCTAATTAGCATAGGGGAAACCAAAGAAGTGATGGTGTGGTGGGCAGGCGCACTTTGGTAGGGCTGGTTGACACCACAATGGCGTGAGTGCATCCGAAGCACAGATAAGACAAGGGACTGTGCCCCTGTGGTCGGATGGTTGGATGTTGCCCTGTGTGGTGCAGGATGTATCTCTTGCCGATCAGCCTGATCGGTCGCTTGATGTGTACGGCAAGTCTTCAAACCCTGAGCTCTTAGAAAAGACCACATCAATATGTAGCATCAGAGGAGAGACCGTTCGAGGACAATACCCCGATAGATACCCCGATCGAAGGGGTGTGTTGAAGTCTTCGCAGCAGTGAGGGTTGAGAGGGAAACCTGCAGGACACTGGACCTGGTCGTATGCTAAACTCTGAACTTTTAAACTTTTGGCTGGAGACTCAAGAAGAGTTGCCCCTTGCTGCCGACTTGGAAGCGTCATGGAATCTGCACACTCCCATCGCGTTTGCAAACACGAGCGGTAGACCTTTAGCGAACCAACCCCAACAAACAAGCATCCCTCTATCGTGCAGCATCCGTGCGGCCCGCACACGACAGAGCGTAGTCTACGACGTCCTTCATAAGGAGGAGTACTTCGTACCACACAAGAGTGCATCACAGAAGAAGCAGTTGCGGCAGAGAGGGAGACGGCGTGCGACCTCGACCTTTTGTCTCTCACGCCACTCCTGACCGACACTCTGAAAAAACCACACTCGTGTACGCGAGCGACACACACAGGGGAAACCTCTGCATGCGGTTGTACGAACCCACAGGCACATCGACTCATCCGAGAGATCGAGAGATCAATATGTCACAACCCCGTGCGCTCCTAGCTATTAGTGAGGATGAACAGCAGCAGCGGTAGCGCCTAGACGGGGCGTGTTCCCCCGCGATCGCGATATGTACTGACGTTTGCGTGCATCTTGTTCCGTGTGTTGCCTTTGCTGCCACTCTCTTTTCCGCCATGGGGGGGGGTGCCGCTGTGGCGTCTTTCCGACCACCTCTGGCGGCCATTTTTGTCGCGATTTTTCCCCTCATCGACGATCTGGATGGGACGGACGGAATCGGCAGCGGCAGCGGCACCAGCACGGACATGGCGGAGATGGGGGTCGACATCCGGGTGCCCTCCGGCTGGGTGGTGGGATCCACCGCGGTGGAGGGCAAGAAGTGCATCGGGACGCACAGCGGCTCTTGTGAGTCTCCTGTTGAGACAAAATAGCCTAAATAGTCCCATGTAAAAGCACTTTCGAGGCAACTAGCCGACATGGGTTATTTTTTTTTTGTGTGTGTCCGCGCGTGGCGGCACGGCGGTGCATGCGACAAAGATGTATACGTCTGCCGAAAGGCGTCCACGTTTATGTAACGATGCACGGCGGCACGAATTACTTCAGGCTCGGCAAGCGAGCTCCGATAGGTGACGCGCGGTGCGGGTCAGTCACCTCATGCTGTCCGTCTGCGGCACGCGTGCTTGGTCGCTTAAGAAACGCGCGACTTGTGCGCCAAGCACACCTATTTCAGCACAAGTATGTAGATACACGTACATATGCATACGCGGAAGCAAGATGCAACCACCACCGCGCATGAATAAACATGGACGCATGCCCACCGGGCTGTTTCTTGATTTATTTTCTCCAGATGACCACATCAAGTTGATTCATGTCTCTAACTGTCCACTTTATTTTTTCTCCTTTCGTATTCTGCTCCCCCCCCCCCTCTCGTCTCACACTGTCGTCCGGCCCCCTATCTCTCCCCTCCTGTCCGTTCCACTCCACCAAATTTAAGTCCATTGCGACGAGGCCCTGGCCTGCGCGATGCTCAAGATCCTGCCGGAGTGGTCTGACGCCGTTATCGTGCGCACGCGGGACGAGGCGGAGCTGGCCAAGTGCGACGCCGTAGTCGACGTTGGCGGGGTGTACGATCCCACCACCCTGAGGTGTGCCTGTGCGTCTTGTTGGTACTGCTGTTGTTGTTGTTGTTGTTGTCGTTACGATGTTGCTATCGCTGTTGTCGTCTCTGCCTTGATGGTTGCACAAGAGGCTAGTTCGTGGAGCACAATGGTTCGTTCAACACGGCAGAGCAGACATGGGAAGAGAGAGAGAGAAAGCATCAGGGGACAGACTTTGCTTCGTTTTTTCTGCAAATACGAGCTGCAGTTAGAAACTCTGCGTGCGAGACTTTGCTGATACCACCGGCGGTCAGCCAACCGAAATTTTCATCCATCCACCCCTCCTCTCCAGGCGTAAAATTAGAAGCAGACCCACCACCTATGTAGAGACTTGGCAACAAAGAAATCGATGCCCATTTCCCCAGACCACGGTAGAAGCAACGCGTGCTTGCGATGGCCGATCAAGAATCCCCATGCGTAAACCTGCGTTGTTGGCCTTTGATGCAGCTGTCGGAAGAATGCCCACCTAAGTTAGTAAAAAATAAACCTCCTTCTTGGACACAAATGCCTCTTCTTCTTTTCTTCGCTTTTAGGTTTGACCACCACCAGAAGACATTCCACGACACGCTCTCGGAGGAGAATTTTCAGACCCGCCTCTCTAGCGCGGGGCTGGTGTACCGCCACTACGGCCGGCAGATCCTGAAGCAGCTCGTCGAGGGCACCTCGGTGCCGGAGGACGTTGTGGACAAGAAGCTCTATGCCAAGGTTTACAAGGTGGGCGGGAGGACTCGGGCGTTGTTGTTGTTGGTGGTGGTTTGGGCTGCTGCCTCCGAATCAAATCCTTCTCGGATGCCTGTGCATGCTTGCCGCAATCCACTCACTCTCTTGAGGTTATGCAGTATTTAGCTGGTACAGAGGGAGCTCTACCGGTAGTAATCCCGGGGTGGGTGTGAAGGTGTTTTGTGTTGGTGAATACTTTGCTGTGCTTCCCTCTCGATGATGTCCTCTTTTTTCTCCTCATCACTCAAGATTTTTTCGGAATAGGATAGATTTTCCGTTTCCTGAACTTGAGAGATGTCTGTCAGTATTTTTGCATGTCTATGGACGTTGCTACCGCAGCAGCCATATTGCGTCCTCTTTTTCCCCATCTGCACCCACCCCCTCCCCCCCCCCCC